CTCAAGGCTAAGCCTCAAGAAGACTAAGTTGTTTGCCTGCTTTTCTTGCATTTTCTTGACATTCTATTACCAGTGATAGCTTTTTTTAAAATTGATTTATGTTATGTTTGTTTGCAAGCTAAGCTTTTAATTTTCTTAATTTTTTTTATTTTTTATTTTATGGATTTTTTCAACTTGGTGCATGATTTATTATAAGCATATTTTTGTGCTATTACATTCTTTTGAACTATTTTTTATTCTATTTTGAGGCTTATGCCTCAAAAGCGCCTCAAGGCTTACACATCGCCTAGCCCCACAGAGGCAAAAAAGTCAATAACCAATTAAACCTTTTTAAACATTGACTGAAATATCTTTCAGAAGCTTAAGAAAGGGATAACAAGGATCTCAAAATTTGTTGGATATGAACTGCACAGTAACATCTATATTATTCTAGTTTTCATTCTGTTTCTCTTGTTATATTTCAATGTTCATTTCCACTTTATGGCTTCATCCTTTCAGCATTGCTGCTCTTCCCCCCTGACTTCTCTTTTTTTGTTTCTTAACTTTTAGCTATGGACTTGTTTGGATCTCCACTACATTGGTATTTGTGATCGCTTCCCTTGGAAATTGTGCTTCCTATCTAATGCATAGAAAAAGTGATCACAGCACTTCATGGACTTTCGACGTCAGTTATATGAACGTGGCAGCTTGCTCCATCTATGGTTATTCGCTGATAGTGCCGCTGGCATATTACTTTTTGCTTCAGTACCTGGGATCAAATGCAAGCCTTATACGCTTTTGGTGCTTGTGGGGATATTCCCTTTTCATTTTCATTCTAAGCTCTGTAAGTATATGTGCCTGCCCCGTCTTTGTTTATCACGATAAATTAGTCAAGGGCATTCAATTCCTAATTTTGTCTTGACCTAAGCAACAAGAAAAGCTACCAATTATATGTTTTTTTTGTCAAATGATTTTACACGTTCTACCAATTGCAAACCAATTTTTGGAAGGTGCTTCTTTGGGCTTCCGTTGCTATGAACTCACTGGTATCTGATAGCAGTTTCTTTTGTAAGATTGGACACTGTGATCCTTCAACCGTAAGTTCAGTGGAGCTAATTTGACGGGAAAATAAGCTTACTGGTTTTCTAACAAACACTATATATTGCTGTCTATTCATTCTGATCAATGCAATTTGCAAATATGAATGTGGGTGTATCTGCATGTTCCGCAAAATGTTGTTAATAAAGAATGAAAATGTAGACTATGTACTATGTAGTTGATAGACTTTTTTAATTTGATTTTGCAGGATGTATCGAAGCTGAACTCTCTTGGCATGTGTTATTCACTGATTAAATAGTATTAGTTGCTGGTACTAGGATGGTATAAATTGTAAGCCACAACTTTAGACGAACAATTTGAAATTGAAAGGTTTTAGGTTAAGTGAAGTTAATATATAATAAATGTAACAGCTATTTAGTTGGAATAGGAGTAAAGGTTGATAAGAATCTTATTTGAGGATGATGTTACCTCAACGAGTGGTATTTCATAAATTTAAGTCCAATTATTAAAAAGATTGAGCAGCTGAAGAGGATATATGTGATTAGGAGATACCTATTGAGTTAACAGGCAAGTTCTGTTAGACCAGGTATTTTGTGATACTGAATGTTTAGTCATTGAAGACGACAATGTACATAAGATGAAACTTGCAGAATACTGACATGGAAGTATGGCAATAAAAATAAGTAAATGAAGATGTAAGCTGAGTAGGAGAAATGCTAGTTGAGGATAAATTGAGGGGAGAATGACTTGTATAGTTAGAGTATGTATTAGAACTATAGAAGTTTTTATCCATGAGAATAATAAGAGTGAAACGATCTTAGTAGCATTTGTTGGAATATTTGTCAAAAAAAAAAATGTATATATTAGAAGAGGGAAGCAGAGAGAGCACATTAAGATGATATAAGATGGTTGCAAAAGATTTGATTTCAATAGGCCTTTCAGTAGACATGGGCTGGCGAAAGAGAATTCACTTAACCGACCCAAGTTTATTAGGAGTTTGGCTCCTTCAACCTTACCCAAAAAAAAGGTTTAAAAATGCGAAACTAAATACTGAAGTGGTTTTTCTTTATGAGGCAAAGCGCAAGCCTTGAGGCGGATTGAGCCGTAAATCTCACAAAAAACAAAAAATTTAAGTAAAAGAATTATAAAATAATACAAAAAAATCAAAGTTGGAGCATATAGTAAATAGGATATATAACCATTAACATATTGAGATATAGTCCACCTAAAGAAAGAAGATGTTTAGAAAAAAAAAGCACTACAGAAGTTAGAAATCACTCTATTTGCAATGGAAAAAAATAAGCATTTTAAACTAAAAAAAGGTCTAAAAAAGAAGTAGAAAAAGAAGGAGAAAAGAGGAAAAACATACCTGCTGAACTGGTGAAGTAGATGAGGGAGATGAACTGCTGAAGCTGAACTGATGAAACGAGGAGACGTTTTGGGTCCTGTAATTGCTGGCTGCTTTTTAGTTTATTGTTTTGTTTGTGCCCAAAATGCCTTTTTAAATGGGTCATTTTCTTTTTTAAGAAGGTCATTTTTGAATTTTTTTCATATAATTGAAAAATCAAATTTTAAATGAGGCGCGCGCCCTGAGCCGTCCGCCTCAGATTTAGAGGCATGAGCCTCATATTTTTAGCCTCAAAAATACCACCTCGAGGCATACTACATGTGAGGCGTGCCTCACTATCGTCTTTTTAAACCATGCCCAAAAGATAATCATTTGATTAGATTTTTCAGTATACACTTTTGGTTATCTTAAATTCTTGATGCTCAGTATTTTATCATGATGCACACCTAGTTCTTTTGTTCTTGAATTTGCGCTTGCTTGCTTTATGTTTGACATTCATGTGAACCATGACTTGGACCTACGAATCTCATGCTGATTTTGCATTTCATTGAAGGTTTTTATTTGGTTTTGTTATTCGGTTATCTCCTCCTGACTGTAATTTAAATTAGTAACGGAGTGATCTGATTTGTTTCCTTGAACATGTTCAGTTCCTGTTGGTTATTCCAGTTGAGTTTCTGCGATGGACTATCATATTACTCGTTGGTGGTGTATCAGCAAGCTTTGTTGCTTTGAACCTCAGATCTTATATACGAGAGAGTGAAATTACAATAGTTGTTATTTCTGCATTTGTCCTGCAAATGGGTCTGGCAATCTTCATCAAGATGTGGTTTTTTGCATAAAGCTCGATTTTGGTTTGGTGTACCTTGGGTGACAATTGTATCATTTGGGTTTTACTGTATTGGGGTAAAGAGTTTGTGAAACGGAGTGTAAGCTAAATTGTTGCGAACTTATGGTGATGTGGTTTTGTTGTCTATGAATGTGGAGGAATTTGAACATCGTTTGGAACATGGCTTAGGTTCTTTCAGTCACATATATAAACAATATAGTTAGAATATTTTGTTTTTGTTTAGATTCTAATTTCTGTAAATATACAATGTATGGATTTTGCCTTGACATGTCCAAAGAGTTGCACATTGTTTTGGCTACTGCTTTCTATTCAATAATGAAGCTTTATGGGATCTTTTTATCCACGTCTTCATCTCTGTCTTAGGTTAGGTATTTGGTAGAGGCCAAATTTCATTTGAGTCAATTACAGCGTGGACTTGGAAAACTCAAAAGCCTGTTTTTTAAAAATTTATTTATATTGAATAATAAAGTATGTATCTAGACAGGCTTTTCTAAAGTAGGTGGTCAAGGAAAAAATTATTTGGACATTATCTTGTTAGCACTGTTTGACGGGGATTAAAATCGAATTTTTAGTAGATTTTGATAAAAATTGATGAAATGTGCAGTTGAAAAGTTGCGTGTTCCATAAAATGTATTGTTAAAATTCATTATGGAATTTGACTTCATAGTACTTTCTACCAATCATGGGCTTAATATATTTAGTTTTTATTGAGTTTGGCCATTATAAAGTTCATAAAAGTTGTGAATTTTATCGCATCTATGAAAATCAATTGATGATTTCGACTTAAATTTTTATCAATTTTTTTAGTTAAAATCAAACGAGTTGAGTGTTTTTGAAATTTGAATTCTAGCTTACTTCATTTCAATAGGCAGGGAATTGCACTAACACATTAATTCCAAAAAGCTAACAAGAAAGGAGCGGAGGATATCTAACATACTTTTTCATCAGTGAAAGACGTGTTGGAATATTTCACTCAGAGCGTGTTTGAGTTTCATTTTTTTGTTTTTGACAAAAATATATTTTGAAATATTTATTTGATTAAAAATAAGAAAGAAAAAAATATATTTTGAAAATAATGAGAATCAAACGATGACTAAATTTTTTTATAATTTATCTTCCCCGAAATATCTGCCCATTCAATTTTCTTAATTTATTTTCAACCTTCCTTTCTTGTACATGTAGATGTAGTCCACAAATAGTGCAGTACACATCCTCGTCGAAAATCTTCACTCTCATTTTATTTGCACAAAAATTCAAATTGTCACATTGAAAATGTCCGAAGTTCATTTTATGTAAGTTATTAGGCAAATACAATAATAAGATCTGTATTCGAACATAAAAAGAAGAAGAAAAAAAACCAAGACTTGCCCAGCAAAAATGGTGTCGAATAATACCACTTAGCCCGCCTTCGTTTGAACAGATGCAATCCCCTAAGTTTCGTGCACAAAATCATCATCCGCACGTCAGCGTGTTCTACGTGGCGTCTTTTGATTGCTCACAACCAAATGACAAACATGTACAAATAAAATAATAGAAAAATTGCACTCTCTCTTCAAGGCTCAGAGTCAGCAGTGCTACATTACAAGCGGCTTCGTATTTTGTGTATTGTTTGTATCCTCAAAACAATAACCCTACAAGAGTTAGTCACGAGTCTCCTCATTTTTCACTGCCAATAAATTCCTATTGTTTGTTAAATTTTGTGTATTCATTTTCAAACTGACTCATAATCAGAGCTGAGATAGATAATTCATTCTCTGTTGCTCAACAATGGAGGCTATGGATTCCACGCGTGCATTTGTCAAAGACGTTAGGCGTGTCATCATCAAGGTTACATTGTTTTTAATTATCATTTTATGTGTTTTGCTATATTCGGATTAAATTTGTATACAAAGTCCGGTTTTCCATCAGTTCAAATGTAAGCAGGATTAAATTTCATTTATTTATGTTGATTTCCTTGAATTGGATAATTATAGGTAAGGTTTACATTGGTTTGTATTCTTGAATTGTTGTGAATTTCAATTCCCAATTTATGTAGAGAAAGGTGCACCCTTAGAAGAACTGTGCACTAGGAATGTGAATCAGTAATTTGTGCCTTCGTCACATCACATATTAGATTTGCACCGAATCGTTTTAACGTTTTTTTTTTTTAAAGAATATTTTCATTTTTCATGTTTTTGTTTTAAATGTTTTGAACCCCTGCATTATTTAGTGGATTAGTACATGATAACAGTAGTTCCAAGTGAGGATAATTAGTACTTCTAATACATTCGGACGTGGATTGAAATGTAGACCAATTCTTTAGTAAACTTCTGAACTTTGACATACAAGTATTTTATATTCAAGTTTCATATGAAAATTTGCAAACTCTTGTTGGCCTAAAATGTTTAATTCTGTCATAAGTGAGATTTTAAATTAAGAATTGGATAGGTAGGTTGTCAGAAGGAGATGTTAATGCTAAAGCAGACAGTTTATTTTCTAATCAAAATATTTGTTCCTCTACTTCTGCTTTTAGTTTATAATTGTAAAATTATGGCTAGCTAGCTTTGTTAAAGCCTAATAATAGCCTTTGTTTCTTCCATGACACTTTTTCTTTTGGTTTATTCGGCCTGCTTGTGTATCCTTTACCTCAAGATCATAGTTTTGATCTTTGCTGATAATTAATCTTAATTTTTTTGAAGGTTGGAACTGCTGTGGTCACGCGAGCTGATGGTAGATTAGCACTTGGAAGATTAGGAGCACTATGTGAGCAGGTGAGTTGAAGGATCGTGTCCTGCTTATTTTCTTTCATGTCTAGTTAATGCATCAACTGACATTTATCAATGCTTACATTGTTGAATTCCAATTGAAGTGCAGATTCAGGAATTAAACTCTCAGGGATATGAGGTTATTTTGGTGACATCAGGTGCTGTTGGTGTCGGCCGCCAACGCCTTAGATACAGGAGATTGATTAACAGCAGGTTTTGGCATTGGTTTTGCTGTTTGAAGTTTATTTTGGAAACTTCAGAAAGAATATGATGGAATCTTTGCAAACTGAGGAATATTCATTTGTTTGTTTACTAATCTGCGTGCTCAGTTTGACAGTTACCTGTAGACATTATCAACTGGTTATTAAGTATCACTATATGCGTGCTGCTGAATTATTTGATGAATCTTGCAGCCTGATTTCATTCTATTGTACCTCTGGAAGCTCGAATAAAGAATATATATCATGGAACCTTCCCTGAATAATGTTGAATTTTCTTCAGTTACTAATATTGGTGACTTTGTTTTCTGCAGCTTTGCTGACCTCCAGAAACCACAGATGGAACTCGATGGGAAGGCTTGTGCGGCTGTTGGACAGAATGGTCTCATGGCTCTCTATGATACTTTGTTCAGCCAGGTAAAATCACAATTTAGGTAACTTATCTTGATTATTAGTCTGACTAGTTCCCTGCCTTGTGGTATTTCAAAAGAAATAAATCTTTTTTATTGGAAGTGTTATTTTTATGCATATCACCGGTCACGATGATTTTGTTTCTCATATGCAGTTGGATATGTCATCAGCACAGCTTTTAGTTACTGACAATGATTTTAGAGATCTAGATTTTAGGAGACAACTTAATGAGACTGTAAAGACTTTGGCATCTCTGAAGGTTATTCCTATATTTAATGAAAATGACGCTGTCAGTACCAGGAAAGCTCCTTACGAGGTACTATTCTCTGCTTAATTGCTTACTATTTTGTTTCTTTTAATATAAAGTCAGTGGTCAGTGCTATTACTGTCTAGAGACGAGAGGTTTCTGCAGTATGGGTTACGTATATGTGCAAGTTTGACCTTTTTTTTTTTTAAACTTCACACGCTTTTTCACGTTTAGTCTTCCTTACTGCCTGCTTGTCTGATGATCTTTCTTTGCCTTGAACACGTATGTATAAACTTATATGAGTGCTAAATATTTTTTCCTTATAAACAAGTGTTTAATATGGAGGTTGGTGAATATCTTCACTCCTTGTATTTCTTAGACCTCCATTGAGGGTCTTTTCTTTTCATACACATTTTTTAAATTGTCATTGGCTTTATCACTGTGCTCATTACAATATTTTGGATTTTTTTAGCCTCATAGTTCATATTACTTCCCTTACATTGTGCAACTGTATAGGACTCTTCTGGAATATTTTGGGATAATGACAGTTTATCTGCTCTACTGGCACTGGAACTGAAAGCTGACCTCCTTATTCTGTTGAGTGATGTAGAGGGTCTCTACAGCGGCCCTCCAAGCGATCCAAATTCTGAGCTGGTTCATACTTACATTAAGGAAAGGCATGAAGGAGTAATAACTTTTGGAGACAAGTCTAGGGTGGGAAGAGGGGGCATGACTGCTAAAGTAAAAGCTGCTGTTTATGCTGCTCATGCTGGGATCCCTGTTGTTATCACCAGGTAAACTGTCTTCCTGTAGAAAGTTTCAACATTTGGATCTGAACCGGCATCAGACATCAATTCTAATCTATAAAACAAACCATTGCTCATTTTGTGAATTCTTAATGCTTCTTTTAAATAAACTTTGTTTAACCTATTGCCAGTTCTTAGTTTAGAAACTTCAGAGAGTCAAAAGCAATTTTTTTCTGTATCTGATAAAATGATTTTGCAAAATCATGACAGTTGAAATTTCAGCATGAAAGCATGCAACAAAAGTGATTATGGACCCAATCAGTTTGGGTTATCACTGAGCAAAATTAGTCACTGCCAGTAACATGGTAAATAACAATACAAGTAAGTAATGGCAACTGATTGTAGCTAGACTAGTTTTCAGCGTACTTCATAACACTGGATCCATCATCCTTAGAATTTTTTATACTGTTGTTTTCTCCAAGTCCATGGGAAACTTGATGCCGCAAATGATGGTATCAATTTGCATACAGTATTTCAAATTTGTTTCTTGCATCTAAAATCTGAGCAAGCGGTATGAAGTAGTTTGCAGAATTAAAAAATAAATAACTAACCTACTACTTGCTCAAGTTATATAATAAATATTAATTGATGGAGCATATGCTTCTCACAAGTCCGTAGATTGAGGGTAAATGAATGAAACTTTTTCTCCAGTGCAGTCCTCCAAGTCAGAGCTGATGTCTTCTATGAAGTTGATACCTTTAAATCTGTACACTGACGATTTATTTGTTATTAAGTGTGAATTACTGCTTTATGCTTTTTAGTGCTTAATTTTTAGCAGAATTTAATATCACTCTGCCCCATCTCTCTTTTACCATGGATGAAGTGGCTTTGCTGCTGACAATATATTGAAAGTATTAAATGGGAAGCGAATTGGTACGCTATTTCATCGGGATGCTAATAAATGGGGTCCATTTGGAGAAGTGGGTTCTAGAGAAATGGCAGTTGCAGCTAGGGAAAGTTCTAGAAGACTGCAGGTAAGAAAAATTGAGGAGCAATCTGAGATGAATTTTGCATACCAGAACAAATGTGGTTGATTGTTAATTCTTTCCCTTCAGGCCTTGTCTTCACAAGAAAGGAGTAAAATTTTGACGGATATCGCTGATGCACTGGAAGCAAATGAGAAACTAATTATTGCTGAGAATGAAGCTGATGTTGCTGAGGCGCAGCAAGCTGGATATGAAAAATCATTGGTATCTAGGCTAGCCTTGAAGCCTGGTAAGGTAAGACACTACCTTATAGGCATTAGGCATGTATTATCTTTTGAACGAAATGTTGTCACAAAACTACGTTTTTCATACTCTCTATTTCTTCCTCTCTTAAATAGCTTTTATCATTATAGGTTTCAAGTCTTGCAAATGCTATTCGTGTGCTTGCAAACATGAAGGAGCCGGTTGGTCGTGTGGCCAAGAGAACAGAGGTAGGCAAATTGGGTATTGAGGATAATAATTAATAGAATGTGGAGTACATAAAAATACCTGTTCAACCTTTTTATGGGACTTCCTTCTTTTTTGTTTCCCTTCGCTAGTTCTAACAATATTAGAAATGGTGCTTGTTGCCCTATTCTGGAAATTGCTACAGGGCTCATAATTTAAGCTGTCCACCGTCCAAAACATGGGACACTACTTCATCTAATTGGAAAAGTATGGTTGAAGATGTTTTATTTACATGAGCTGAGCTCAAGGAGAATACCAGACTAGTGTTTTACGACTCAATGTTCTGCTCAAATATGCTAGTATAGTATATCAGGATAAAGTATGGCCAAGCTATTTGGCGCTTGAGTATAAATATAGGGAGTTCAAGCTGGATCTCGAGCTTGACTCAATTGTATTTTGAGACCCTACGCAAGCTCAGCATGAGAAATTTCAAATATTAGTACTCAATTTTAGTATACATGAAAAACAATTTAAAATTTGTGAGCTTGCCTTTCCAAGCTCTAGCTCAGACAAATAGCCAACATGCTCTTTTCTGGTTCGATAGAGATCAATGCGAGCTCCAAAAACTCATGAGATAACTGTTCTTTCTTTTGCAAAATCAAGTACTCTGCATATAACCATGAATAATATATCTTGGGCATAAAGACTGTTACTGACTGATAATATCTGCAGCTCTCAGAAGGATTCATATTGGAGAAGTTGTCATCTCCCTTGGGTGTTCTTTTGATTATTTTTGAGTCTCGACCTGATGCATTAGTTCAGGTAAATTAATTGACCTTTTTACTATCAGAAAGATTGTGGTTAATTGGTTGTCTTCTGCTTCTGTGCAATTGACTGATGTCATGCTAATATTGTAATATAAACTGTTGCCATTATGTTGAATATCACCACACACAGTGGTTCTTTGTGCTTGTTTTAGTAATACTTACTATATATCCAGCTCCAAATTGCGGTTATGGGATGCTGTCATGATCTTTCATTGATAAAATCATTTTCGCAACATGATCCGACAATTGTGAATTTGTCCGCTTCTTATTTCTTTTCAGACAAGAACAACATTTCTTCTCTAAGTTCCATGTTTTAGCTTAAAGCATTACATAACAACATCTAAGCCGTGTTCACTAGAGATTGGTAATGCAAATCCTCAATTATTATTACATTGGATCCAAGGCTAACAACATCTAAGCCGTGTTCACTATAAACTTGAGGTTGGTTATGCAAGTCCTCAATTACTATCACATTAGATCCAAGGTTAGCCCTTATTAAAGATCCAAATAAACCAAATTCTTGCAATTACTTCAATCGTGTTAATTTTGATCTACCTTTCTCTCTTCTAACTTGTACTGCTTTTTCATGGCTCTAAGTGCAAGCAAGACATGCCCTGCCATCTAAGTTCCACAATAAAAGATTTTTAAGTTTTAACCGATCGATAGAATATTTCCCTTTTGAATGTTACCAACAAACGCTGTAAAATTATCTTACAATTATTTCATATGTCAATGTAAAGGGTTTCAAATTTTCCCCCTTCCCCCTGAATATAGTAACTATTTCAGCAGCCGTTCAAAAAAAAAATAATAATAATAATGTAAAATGCAGCAACTTTTGGATGGCTTCTGACCATTTTCGATGTCGATTTATTTTCTGATTTTGTCCATATTTTATTTGTTATTACAAGACAAAATTGTATCAAGTCATAAACTATGATCAGTCAACTGACTCCGGACTCGTTGTACAGCCATGGACAAACATTTTTGTATATTCAACTGTACAAACTTATGGTCTTCTATTGATTGTAACAGATAGCTTCATTAGCAATTAGAAGTGGGAACGGGCTTCTGTTAAAAGGGGGAAAGGAGGCCAGAAGATCAAATGCAATTTTGCACAAGGTTTAATCTTGTGAATAATTAGTTGTTTTAGGGTCATTGCAGCCCAGAGTTATACCAATATTTTATCATGGTTATTATGAAGTTCTACCCATATTTTATTGTTTTAGGTAATCACTTCAGCCATCCCAAAAAATGTTGGCGAGGGACTCATTGGACTGGTGACTTCTAGAGGAGAGATCCCTGAATTGCTGAAGGTGGCTTGAACTGAGAATATCGATTAATGATTCCATGACGCTTTTATCCAATTATATGGTTGTATGATGCATGAATTGTAACTGGCATTAACATTTCGATTGCAGCTGGATGATGTGATTGATCTTGTGATACCAAGAGGCAGCAATAAACTTGTTTCTCAAATCAAGGCTTCAACAAAAATTCCAGTTCTTGGTCATGCTGGTACAAAAAGTTTACTTTAAATGACTTTCTCTATATTATCCTGCACAAAAACGTGTAATTGAGATTTGAACCTATCATGCATTCCGTATGTTGGGAGATCTTGTAAAGCTGTGTTCTTTTCATCCCAGATGGAATATGTCACGTGTATGTAGACAAGTCTGCCAATATGGATATGGCAAAACAGATTGTTTTGGATGCAAAAACAGATTATCCAGCAGCCTGCAATGCAATGGCATGATTTTTATAGATGATTTTTGTCTTTTCAAATATGTCTACTATTATTAAAAGATCGTTTCTAATGATGCTTTCTTTACTTGTTAGGAAACACTTCTTGTTCACAAGGAGTTGGTACAGACTGGTGCCCTGAACGACATTATTATGGAACTTCAAGTCAAAGGTTGGGTTTCTATAGCAAAATTTACCTTGAATCCATGCACCCAAACATAACCTGTCCCCTCAACCTTCCCACACAATCATTGCACTTTCAAAATTCATCAGAGTTTTATGCTTGTATGTCTGCTGTCCCTGTTCTGCTTTCTAATGTTTGGTTGATTACTTAAATTCGGTTAGTATGCAATGGTACATCATGTCCACATTCTGGGATGATTGGCATGTTATTGATGGTTCAACCGGTATTATTTAAACTGAAACTTGGATGTATTTTAAAGTCTCCAACAGTTTGATGGTTTGGAATATAAGCCTTACCTCATTTTGAAAACTTAATTATAATACACTATTTGCTTTCTTTCTGGAAACCTCTGGATCTGTAAATTACCTTAAAGATTCTAAGTTTTGTCACTTCCCAGAGTCGGCATGGTTAAGTACTGTTTATACCTTAATTATGTCCATCTGCTTCAGGTGTTGCAATATTTGGTGGACCTCGGGCGAGCTCTTTACTGGATATTCCAGAGGCACATTCATTGCATCATGAATACAGTTCGCTCGCTTGCACTGTTGAAATTGTTGATGATGTATATGCTGCCATTGATCATATACATCAGCATGGGAGGCAAGTTAGCTTCTTGAATTTCTCTGCTGTTGTGTTCATTTGTATTCTGCGTGTTTGTTGTCAATTGAAGTTCTTTCTTAATTGCAGTGCACATACTGACTGCATCATTACAGAAGACCGTGAAGTTGCAGAAGTCTTTTTAAATGGAGTTGACAGGTGCTTGGTCTCCCACTTGGTCATATTACATTGCACCATTGCATTTGCTATCTGATATATTTAGTTAATTTAACATGGATATCATAACCGCTTCAATGAATTTAACGTCAAGTATTGATGTTACCAGTGCTGCTGTTTTCCATAATGCAAGTACGAGATTTTGTGATGGCTTCCGTTTTGGACTAGGTGCAGAGGTACGTGTTCTAACTTTTTGTTCGGTTGTTGATATCCGAGTGTTATCTATCATATATTTGTGGTTGATGACAGGTTGGGATTAGTACAAGTCGGATTCATGCACGTGGTCCCGTAGGTGTTGAAGGATTGCTAACGACGAGATGGTATGTCTCTAAAATATCTCTCTCTCTCTCTCTCCCCCCTCCTCCTCCTCCTCCTCCTCCTCCTTCTCCTTCTCGTTGTTGTTGTTGTCATGGATTTACTTGATTAACTTTCTGCTGGATATTTGCACCGTTGGGACTAGTCATATACACACGTATTAAAACAACAGAGTGCATGAAGTTATCAAATGCAGTGTTAATCATTGGCAGATGATCCCTTTTTTTCATAGATGATCAATGAGAAACTGACCGTTGTGTTTCTAAGAGTTTGCTTTAGGGTAAATACTAATTCATTTGAAACACTTCCAAAATATTAATTCATTTGCCTTATTTTATCAAAATAGAAAACTCAAAGGTCATCATGTTGACGACTTAGGGTACTCCATTCTCAATGCTAAGGTCCTATGATGCACCAACACGGACACGTGTGTCCGACACGATACGTGTTGGAGACGCCGACACATGATTTTTAAAAAAAGTATAGACACGACACGTCATCGACACGTTGATTAAATTTTTAAAAATTCTTCATTTATATAGTACAAATTTAATTTTATACTTGTTATTAATTTTTCTTGTTGAAATCTTTTAATCATGAGTACCTATTAGTATGGACGTTTTGCGCCAATAACCCTTTATATAGTATAAATTTAGTTTTATACTTGTTATTAATTTTTCTTGTTAAAATCTTTTAAACATGAGAACCTATTTGTTACTTGCTAATAATTTTGAATTAACAATAAATAATATTTCTAATATAAAAAGAAAAATGATTACAGTAGAGTATGCGAGAAGTGTCGGTATCGACTCGTATCCGACACGAACACGCTACCCTAATTGAAGTGTCCGTGCTACAGAGCTAAGGTCTTTATGGCATTCAAAATTGAAGCTAAAAATTGTCTATTGAAGCATTGAGAATCTTTAATCTGGAGATTTCAGATATTACTTGATTTATTGTTTTGCAAATTTTTATGATTTTTGAGTTTATTTCCCTGATATTTTACCACCATTTGATGTAGGATCGGAAGAGGAAGTGGACAAGTTGTGAATGGTGATAAATGGCTGGTTTACACTCACAAGGACCTATCTTTGCAGGATTGAGCCTGCACAACCCAAGTATTACGCAGTGGTTTTCTATGACACTAGCATTTGATGAAGCTGTCTGGTCTAATTAATCGTCTGCAAATCAGAAGTCTGGGAATGGATCAATGGATGTGTGGTTTTGGTTTTAATCAGAGATTCGATATGAGATTTCATTCCCACCCAATGTACTATGTAATAGAGCAGTTAGGCACTTGGCACGAGTGGCATTGCTTTAAAAGTGGTTGGCATTCGAGATATATTTACATTTCAAACATTTACAGTACTTGACATGACATGAAGATATCCTATAATTGCCCCAAGCACCACAAAATTTTTTGTATTTTCTGGAAGTATGTTAACCATTTATATGAAGTTTGGTCGGAAAGATTTGGTTCTTTTCTTGTGAAGGTCATGAATAAAGCTCTTCTACAGGGGCATCTTCGTCTTTTGCTTCTTTGGTGACACCTTGTCTATGGACGAAGATGGACCTAACGATTAGTAGAAAGACGGTGGAAATCGAGTCATGTTGCCGATCAGAGATTACTAGTACGATGTGTTTGGCCTCCCCTTGACTCAATTAGAAGAGTGTACCTGTAGAGGCATTTAGTATATTGGCTCGGCACCTTGGGCTAATACCCAATTGAAGGAGGTGAGAGTCGGAATTTAGAAGACGTCATAAGGAAACGTTAAATGAAATAAGAGCACAAATTAAAATCTAAGCATCATCATGTTCCCATTGACCTCACCGACCAATCGAATTCCATCAAATGGACGGTTGCAAAAATTATGAGGTTGAAATTATTGTAGCTTGACATGACTAGAACAACTTGTTTCGGTTTACTTGCATGTAAAGACGATGAAGGATTGAAGAAATTGGAGATTTGATACTGATATATTTTTTAACAGTTGTAACAGTGTAGCATTATAATACTCTTATTTAATTAAAAATAAAAATTGATCAAAGACCATCGTATTATTTGTTCACATCAACATGACCATAAGAAAATGAAATTAGAGTAAAAATACGTATTAAGGTTGGCTTCTGGAGTGTTTTGTTCCAGGATGATTTGTTTCGGTCCAATTCTTTCAATTCACGTTAAATAAAATATAAGTTAAAAGTTAAAATAAGCATCAACTTTTTCATGTTTGACTAATTCAGTAATTTGTTGAAACTGCCAAAAACTAAGTGCGTGTTTGATGTTGATTAAAATTAGATTTTTAGTAAATTGTGATAGAAATTTTTGAAATATGTGGTTGAAAAGTTGTGGGACCCATGAAAGATGTGGTTAATATTAATTGTTTAACTTAGATTAAAATATGATTTTAATCCAAAACAAACCGGGCATAAATAAATACAAGACAATCTCAAGAGTTAGACCTAATCGACCCTTTTTTTTTTCCCCTTAAACTTATTTTTAATCATAATTTTTTTATAATATAATTTTGTACATCAACTTGTAACTTTTTTCTAAATTTTTACCATAAAATTTTCAGAAATATCACTTATCATACAATCTTATGTACAAGTAGTTTGTCATTTTCAAGGCTGGTATTGTTGAAAGAGTCGCGCATATGATCATAACAGATGATTCAGATCCCATCCAATTTACGCCTCCGATCTTCACTCTTGTCGACAATGAATGAATACTGTAAAAAACGTCACAAAAATTATATTAAAACATAATTGTTACTTTCATTTTTACAGCCATTAAAGGAAAGGGGATTTCTACTTTGTTCTTCTTCAAAACCAAGTCTAGGAGCATCCAATTCCAACTGTCCCAGATTTTTGGGAAAGCAAAACCCACCTCATAAAGATTCAATCTTTACTAAATACATGCACTTGGAGAGAGAAATAGAGAGATGAAAGAGCTGTTTGGGAGTCCAGGAACAAAGAGTGGGCTCGTATTAAGGATTGGGCAGAGTTTGTTTGCAGCTTCTTCAATTGGAATTATGGCATCTGCGTCTGGGTTTTCTACTACTACTGCCTTTTGGTAATTTCATTCTTGGTCACTTCTATTTCTTGAAAGTTTCATTGTTATTTTCATCTGTTTCCTGTTTCTGGGTTTACATGTGGGGGTTGGAAAATATTATTCTGCTTTTCTTTTAGCATAATTGGGTTTATCCACACACAATTTGATCAATTCCATAAAAAGAAAAAGAAGTGTCAGCTCTAAAAGAAGAAATATGCACTAATTTCTTGTCTTTGGAATAATTATTTCACTTGTAAGGATGGGTAGATAGAGAAGATAGGACTACCCAATTTGTTGGTTCAAGAAATGACTAGTGATCGTTGAAAGCGATTCCTCCTCGACAGTATAATGCACGCGAATGTTCTCATGTAATCAGATGTTCTACACAACTGAGACAAACCATCAATTTATCATATAGTTATGCGTAATACACACATACCTTTGAACCTAATTTTCTTTTTTCTTTTTTTTTCCTTTTGAAAGGTGAGAGGATGTGTGGGTGAGAATTTATTTTGCCTTGGGCTGTACTTCTGATTTTAGTAACTTTTCATAAACTTGGTGTTTAATTGATGACTACATGTAGTGTTTGTGTTTTCCATGTTTCACTGGAGTCCCTGGATTGAAGTATGTTAGTAAAGTAATTTGTGATGAGCTAGCAAATAATTTGTGGTGACATCTGAAGGAGAGATACTGTGTTGACGTGATAGTTTGGTAGATAAGACTAAGAGTGAAAGGTAATCTTTCTAGCCTGTTGAATTGGTACAACATATCTTGATGTATTGTTAATCCCATTGTTTGGGTTGGATATATCATGATTGGTAAGAGTAAAATCCCACGCCATTTAAATACAAAAATGATAATCAAAATTCAAGGTCTTGGCTATTACACTTAACAAGGTTAACTTTTTAATATGAAACTTCAAATCTTAATAATAATGCATTATTAAGTAAAATGCTCACGTGTGGTTTAGACAACTTATACATGAAATTACTAGTTTAAGTAATACTTGGTTGCCTAAGTTAGATATCGCTGTCCGTGCTTAGAACTTCATGATAAGCTGTGCTTCTCTTCATTTTCTTTAAGTCTGAAGGTTTTTTTTTTTAATCAACTTGAGCACCATGATTAATTAATTTTTTTACAAATAACTATTCCTTAAATAAGCTGTAATAATTTCCATTTAATGCATCTAATAAAATACAAGGTTTGCAAACTCCATGCTATTCATTGGTTAATCTTGATGGAAAGAAATCTATATTCATGGATCATTGTAGAACCTGTCTACTATTTTTTTTTTTTTTTTTAAATAACACAGCAGTTAAAAAAAACTTTAGGTATTGGAAATGTTGAGGCTCATACAACCATATTTAACATAAACTTCATCTTCTTGCAGTAATATGTAGCCTGAGTCCTGAGTGTCCACCCATTCCTGTGCAGTGCTGTCAATATTTTGTTGAGATTATCAGCACACTGTTATACCAATTCAAACTTCTTTTCTCCTTAAGTTATATGTCAAGCTAGTATATAGATTTGTTCAAAGTTATTTTTCCCTCAGCTTCTCTATTTTTTTTTTCTTTTTATGTCTTTTTCTTTTTTATGCAACAGTATTGTTCTGTACAAATTAATAAAATTATTTTTTAAATCGTAATTGGTGTTCTTGCTTTATTTATAACACTTGGAATGCTGAATCATTTTCAAGCATAGAAAATCAAGGACTTTGCTTTTTGGATCATTTTTCCAAATTTCCCTTCCCCCTTTTGAATTCCAACTGTCTGGGGGTGGTTAATTATTACAGTGCTTCAGCTAATTGGAGAAAAAATTTGTTCAGCTACTTAATAGCATCAATGGGGCTTCAGTTTTTATGGAGCTTTGGACTTGCCTGCATAGACGTACATGCTTTGAAGTTCAATAAAGACCTGCACAATCAAATCATTGTGAGCCTGTTTGTTGTTGGCGACTGGGTAATTAATTCCTCTTTGGCTTCTTTTGTTTCATAACTTCCACAGGAGCATGCTTTTATCACATAAATAATTGTAACTAGGATGCCACATTAGAAACTTCCCGAAGGAAACTGTTGCAATGATTTCACATAATTGCTACTTTCCCCTTGTCAACCCATCTTGATCGACAATCCTCAATGCCCAGAAGTTGACTTGTACTTTTTCTTTCTTTATTTTTTATTTTTTCATATTTTTCTTTCTGGCTCAAGGAATCTTATCTTGATCTACAAAACCTGAAAGGTTTTGATTATAATTTAATGAATATATAATTCTAAATTTAATGCATACACGATATGCATTAAATGTCAAATGTCTGCATGATATAAATGTATGTTTAAAATTTTTGAGAAGTCATTATATAAGAAAAACTGACTTATCCTATTTAATTGACTCTTGTAGTTTTGATTTGTTTTTTCTACTTTCCCAGGAAGAGCTAAAGTCATTGATTTGTGCAGTATAAAACTCTTTACGTTAGCAGTAAATCAGTGAACTGTAAATATATGCAAAGCATAACATAACCACTTGCATTGTGAATAAGAGATAAATTACTTCAGGGCTGTAGAATTAGCACAGGCTCCAGGAAACCTAAATTATGGATGGAGCACCTGAAACTCCCTCTGAATTGAGATGAATCTTGCCCCTTATTTCCACTTTCTCATCTCTCTCTCCCTCTCTTGCACATGGGCAGGTGCAAACACGCGTGTTTGCTCGCTCCCACCACCCCTACCTTTCACGTCTGTCAATACTTTGTACTCCTTAAAGATTGAGAACCTCTGTTAGGGACAATAATAATGCTGTTGGTGTGCTTCTCTTTGTTTGTCCTCATGAGGCGTCATCATCCATCCACAAATTTAATTTTCCACCCATCCAACTGGCTCAGGTCACCCTTACTTCCAAATCATTCATCTGACATCATTATGATGGTTGATACATAGTTGTGGTTGGGACTCAAAATGCTCTCAAATCTTGGTCAAAAAATGAAGATCAAATATTTTAAAACTATGGTCATTGTAACCGTTGAAATGTCCTTCATACCAAGTACTAAATTCACATTTAAATTTCTCACTTCACGTCTAGCATCTCTGGAGGTACACAACCTGAGAAACAATGCCGAAGTACTGTAACAAAATCTAAAAATGATAAGTGCAGAACAAAGCTTGGGACATTTTGGTTATATGAACTGTTGAAACAGGCAATGAACTTCAAATGAGATGTTTATTTGGTTTGGCTCATTACAATAGAAATCACAGTGGTCAACAAAGAAAAAGGGTTTGCTGCTATTGAGCCCAGTTGCAATCACCAAACCTAACTGGTCTAAATTCAGTTACTTTTGTCCAGTCTGGTTCAATAGTTGAAGCCATTGAGTCATAATTAATTTGTTTGGTTCTGTTCCAGCTCCACCAATTAGGTTTAGGAATTTCTTTTATTACAAGTTAGGTATGGTGGATTATATATCAACAGTACAAACCTTGACAATTATTTAAAAAGTTAAAAAAACTGTTATCTGGTTGGTTTTCAGTTTTTTTATAAAAATAAAGACTTGGACTGAGTGGCTGGTTCTCCATGTCACCGAAACAAATAATAATCTTTGTTTCTTTGGAACTAGACTGATTGACTTATCCCGGTGTTCTGGAATTTTCCCATCCCTAGTCCCCAATAGAGTAGAGTAGAATGAATACCTGGACAGTGGGAGAGAGATTCCTTTCTTTTCATAGGGATGGGTTTGGACATTTAAGTTGAGTTTGAATATTTAATTACAGTGATTTTTGCTAACTATTTAAGCTAGTTTAAGATCAGTTCATTAACATTCAATTCATTTCGACTCTTTGCACCCATGATACTCTGATTGGATGAGCAAATTCCTAAAGGGTACTCGAAGTGGATTGCATATCCCAAAGTTAGATGCCATTAAAATTTTCACACATTTTATTTGGGACAATGGAATATCAGAGCAACAATCATAATCCAAATAAATACTTGTGGATATAGGGCGTGTTCAGTCATGTTTAAAATCCAATTAAAAATGAAAATATAACCGTTATTGGATCTCACTCGTCTAATAAAAGTCAACAATAACGGCTAGTTTTTCAATTTTAATCCGATTTTAATATCTCCCGAACACGCCCATAATGTGTATCTTCTTCACATCAAGATTTTTGTTTTGGTAGAATTTTCATAGAGAAGCAATTTTTTGTTCTGAAAAGAACATTTATTGATGGAAGAGGTGGCTGATAATTCTACACTAATACGCGCGCAAGAGTAATTCTACCCTGACACTGGAATACAACAATGATGAGAATCTGAGATATTTGCGGCAAAAGAAATTTTATCTAAGAATTTTCTTTTGAAGTTAGCACTGACTCACTGGGAGATGATATTTTCTTCCATAAGAACACTGGAGAAGTTCAGCCTGGTTTACTTAAAATTAGTTGCTGAGGTTAGAAAGAATAGGAAATTTGTGGTTTAACATGATCACCTATTAAATAGGAGCAGATTTTGAAGTCGGGACTGCAGAATGCTATTCACAATTGTGAAAGGATGAGATACTGTGGTAAGATTAAATTTTGAAGGAGGTAATGATTATACACTTCAGAAAGAAACTTGTGTTCAGAAGGGAGCACTTCGTGACAGGAAAGATGGCTGAGAACCCTACATAAATTTCCACATCTACAGTGATACCTTGTTATAACGTGATCAAGTTCCGAAATATCTGTAGGCATGAGAAGTTCTGTCATTAACTTAAATAATCTGCATTGTCCAGATCATCATCAATGCCCATGTATTTCAGGCATACATTATCCATCTCAAGATTTTGGTCACAAAGATATGAAGCTTAGAAGTGAATATTTCTCTTGAAGATAACTAAGTGACTGAGAGGTGGAATTTTCTAGTATAAGAACTTTGGAGCAGTTCTACTTAGCTTTCTGAAATTTTGCCAAAGAGGGATGGTATAATGTCTCTATGAAATAGGTACAGATTTTGAGGTTGGGACTGTGGAGAGCTATTACAATGGTGTGGATGAGCTTTTGTCAAAGGATCAAACTTTGGAATAGGTTGGCTTCTGAGTGAATCTTTTGTTCTGAAGAGAGCACTTGGTGCAGGGAAGTCGGCTAATCTCGCATATTTAAGCCTTTTTTTCTTTATTTTCTCATGTACTTCCCATGTTGGTGGGACAAGTCTCTTAGTTCGGTTTGTGGATTGTGGTATTTTACCTTTCACTTGCTGGATGTTAGCTCTGGCCACCTCCTTAGTTGTTTTCTGATATTATTTCTATTATTAATAAAACACGCCATCACAAGTGTTTTGATTAAAAAAAATATATCTCCCTATTAATATTTATTATAATTTTATACTTAATTCTTTGTATGACCTAATTCGGTGTACCAAACATGGTCTTGATTCTCTTTTTCGAGATAGAATTATTTTTATTCTTGGCTTGAACTCGACATATTGGATTTTACGATCTAACTCGTGATTGCAGGTGACAGCGACTCTATCACTTGCAGCTTCATGTTCATCAGCTGGTGTGGCGGTACTCTTTACTAAAGATACAGATATCTGCAAAGTAGAGACTAATTTCTCGTGCAATATGTTCCAAATATCCATTGCTTTTGCTTTTGCATCATGGTCTCTTCTTGCTGTGTCTTCTTATGTCATGTTTTGGCTTCTGGCCTCGATTTAAATGACTTGTAATTGACACGATCAACACACGAACACAATTTTGAACTCATGATGTACACATTTCTGACTTTGAAACGTTTTATAGAAATGATTAAATTCTTTTCTGTCTCAACATCGCACTGCCACTTCTTCCGTGCGTTCTAGCTGGATACACCCTCACAACCACCCCCACCCCCACCCCAAAAAAAAAAAAAAAGGAGCAACAAAATGCTCAGCCTGAAAATGAATGATATTAAATATGACAGTTGTTGAGCACAGATATGTGTACTCTAAATAATGTTTTGTAGTACCCTTAGAAATCAATTTCAGAACTATCAAGTATATTACCAAAAATTCGAGAGATCAAATTACTGTTGAGTCTCAAGAAAAAGAAGCAACAATAGGTTCATATTTCAAAAATTCATTGTTTTATATGTATATTGTACTTTTTAGCAAATTATGAGGTTGTGGAATCAGTCTGATGACAAATTTTCAGTGGGAGTTTTTAAAATTGTATTTTCTTGTGATGTAATTGAAATTATCAATTTATTTGTGATAATTTTTTTCATATAGCAGAGATTGTTAATTTATTGAACATTGATTTTTAGGCACGTAAAATGATTCGAGGAAAAAATTAAAATTGACATGGCTTTCCTTATAATTTAACAAGTCATGCTAGGTGATTGGTGTACAACTTCATTTACAAGTATCACGTGACAATATGTTATTGGACAATTTTAACAAAATGTTATTTTTGTAGCCAACAACTTTTTGCCAACACATCACATTGTCAACAAAGTTGTTATGAATGATTGTACAAATAGCAAAATCCATAATTGTTACCATGATGTCGACCCCAAATCATTTCTCGACTAACAAACAAAAAATAAATCTGCCAAGAGACAAAACATCATGTATTGTATATGGTATTCGTCGTACAAACAAAATATGACAAAAAATGTTTTTAACCAACTCCAATGAGGTAGAATTTGTAAACGAAGTCAGTAGAATTTTCGATAACAAACCCTCCATGTGACAAATCATTTATTACATGTCCAACGTACAACTGCTCGAAGGAAGAAACACGATATTATGTGGAACGGGACAATATAAACGCAAGTTCTAATTATGAACTTCAACAAATAATCATCTGATAATATTCACAAAGCTGTGTATGTAGCCATCCTCAAATCAAATATATACCAATAACAAAGAAATTGATAATTTATATCTATTTACACTAGAGATTACACAACTGACCATGCTTACGACCTTAATTGAAATGGAACCTTAAATGGACTGAAAGACTGACTTTTACAATTGGGATGAAAGAGAACTGAAAGTAGGAAATGAACAAAAATTTCAAACACCACACACTATATTACAAACACAGATCTTTACAATACAATCTCTGGCTTCAAGATGCTGGATTTGATCTCCTTATGAGGTAAAACCACGCCTCCATTGCTGTAAATCTCGTCCCGAACATGAACGTCTTTTCCAAGAATGGTCATGTTCTCTATGCGAGCCCATTGCCCAACAGTTGAGTGCCAGCCAATGATGCTGCTTGAAATGCACGAGTGGTTCTTGATGCGGACCCCCCGCATTATGGTGCAGCGTGAAAGCCTAACACCCGATTCTACTACACAGCCAGGGCCAATTGCAACATCTGGTCCAATCAAGCAACCCTCCCCAATTTTGGCAGTTTCATCCACCAGGACATTTCCAATAATGTGAGATCCAGTGGCCAATTTCGGTGAAGATTTCTTTCTCAAGGAGTCCAAGTAAAGTCTCAGGCCAGTGATGTAATCCTTCGGTTGTCCAATGTCCATCCAAAACCCGAGGAGGACCATCGCGTAGAGCTTTTTCTGATCAGCAATTTTAGGGAACACCTCTTTCTCAATTGACGTGGGACGTAATTCAATATGATCAAGAACTGAAGGGTTCAGCAGGTAAATGCCAGCATTGATCTTGTTACCCACATATAATTTTGGCTTCTCGACGAACCTCTCCACTTGTCCAGTGGATTCGTCCATAACAACAACACCATATTTTGAAGGCTCGTCCACCTATATCAACAAGTAAAATTAGCTTCTTGTCAACGAACTTTAGTCAATAAGGGACTTCGAACCTTAACGTGATGTTACCTTGGTCACCATTATAGATGCCTCACCACCATGGGATTTGTGGAACTCAATCATCTCTTTGAGTGGGTATTCACTGATAACATCACTGTTAAGAACAAAAAATGGTTTGTCAGAACCATCTATCAGTTTATCCCTGGCCAAAGCGATGGGACCTGCAGTTCCAAGTGGCTCAGTCTCTTGTGAGCATGTAATCGTAATCCCAAGCTTTGCCTCAAATTCTTTCAAGAAGTCTAGCATCACCTGAAAAAGAAGGTGGTCTCTTCGTTAGCCATACTCCAGTTTTTTTTTTTTTTTTTAAAAAAAAAAAAATATAAAAAAAATTAATAAAAAAAAAAAGAGAGAGTCGCCTCCGCACTGTGCGGAGACGTAAATTTTTTTTTTAAAATATATAATCTACAACAAAATCAGAATTGTTATACAATTTTACTTTAGATTATATTATCATAAGAGCAAAGATAACTTGTTCGAATCTTCAAAATTCATATTATTTTATTTTCCTTCATCTGCCGTCTTCTTTTCTTTGTCCTCCTTATTTTTGTCTTTTATTTTGTTTTTAACGTCTCTCTTCGTCTCTGCGCACACTGTGCGGAGCATCAACTCCGCACTGTGCGTAGCAAATGAAAATTTTTTTTTCTCTACATTCAAAGTCAATAATTGTAGGCATATAAATTGATTAAAAATGATCTTTCCAAATTACCCTTAACCCACGTACGAATAGTGGAAGACAGATATGAGACAATTGGTGTAAATAGTATAGGATGAATATGGGGCAGTTTGGGCTAATGAAAATGTTTCAAAATGAACAGTACTCGGCATGGTGGGAGCAATTTGGGACAACGAAAATGCTTCAAAATGAACAATACTCGACGGATTCACTCTTTTAATATAGTAGGGATATAGATGGAAGATATTTGGGTCACTTCACTTTGAGCAAAGTTTCTTTTTAATTACCTTTTTGTTATTATTTAATGCATGTCTGTATATCAAGTTAATGCATGTGTGTTTATGATTTAGTAATTAATTTTGGTAATTACTTTTTTATATATAAATTAATATCCTATCCGTTTCATAATTAATTTTTATATCATATCCTATGTGTATGGTAATTAATATTTTTAACCTGATTAAATATTTTTATATGTTTCTTTATAAATTTTAAATTGATAATCCATCGTATTGTTGCTCCTAAAATAGTACAACATTATAAGTAATATTCTAGAAGAATATTTTTCGTAGATTTGTCTACTTTAAATATTTTGTTGTTACTTCTAAAGTAGCACAACATTATACTTAATATTTAACAAGAATATTATTTGTTCATGAAGAGTAAGAATTATAATTTTCAATATTTTAGAGGACTATTGACATATTACTCTTGAAAAAGTAATAATAAAATATAACGTTATCTTGAAGTAGCACATTATAATTCTCATTAATATTCTAGTTAGAGTTTACTTGCTCTCGAAAAGCATAATAATATATGATTTAACATAAGTATGTTTTTACAACTGAAGAGTAACATTTACATAATTTATTACTCTAAATAATAATTTGTTATTACACATGAAGAGCATGATATTATAATTTTCAATAATCCAGAAGAATATTGATCTATTGATCCAGAAGAAGCATATTTTTGTATTAAATTAATATACTAGAAGAATAATCAATTGTTATTATGGAACAAAGTACGATTCACACATTTGAATATTCCCGAAGAATGTTGTAGAATTATTTGAATCAATTAATACAAATCTATATTCTAAAAGAATATTGCTTTACTTTGAAAGAAGTACAATTTTATATTTATTGATGTTCTTGAAGAATTTATGTGATTATTTTTTAATAATCACAATTTATATATTGTATTAATTTTGGAGAATTACAATTTTAATTAAATTGCTTTCAAAGAAGCAACAGTTTATTTATATCAACATTCCTAAAAAAATATTGTTTTGAGACTCCAGAAGAGTCAATAATATTGTGTGATATGAAGGGACAAACTTATTATTACTAGTAATTTGTTACCCATTAAATAAAAGAGAAACTTACAAAGTTTTTAATAGTATTCTTTAATTGGTATACTATACTAAACTCTAGTGACCATTTTGATAGACATTGTATCGAACTATAAGTTCCATAACTTTTATATTTTTGATGAGTGCTCCACACTCATGATATTTATGCCACTTAATGCATTATTTTGTTACCATTGAGATAGTTTTAGAGTGTTTTTATGTGTGTTTTGATGTTGTGATGTAAGTTGGTGAGATTGAAGAAAATAAGTAAAAGTTGACAAATTTGGAGAAATGGCTAAATTGTAAGAGATCCAAAATTCGGGGATTAAAGTGTAAGTACTTAAAAGTTATGTCGAACCTCACGATGAAAATTTGAGAGTGCTTGGATTCATTTGGATAAAGGAAGATGTTAAAGGGATCAAATTTAGTCAAAAGATGATCACAAATCAATTTCCAACTAAGAAGTTATACTATGGAGTTTTAGTCTCATATTGAGACTCACTTTTGACAGAGTAAACGATCGAATTGGAGGATGATGTCTGAAGTAAAGTTGTAGCTCTTTGAGTTAGCTTTCCAACACATCTTGAATCGCCTCAATCAGATATTGGAATAAAAAGGTATAATAAAAACATTGAAGAAATGTGCAATAGTTTACAGGGGGGCAGGCGCCCCTGCGCCATTGTAGGGCTCCCCTGCGCCACTGGAAGCTTCAGAACCGATTTTCACCCAAAACTACGGGCACCCGTGCGCCACGACGACACCTGATGCCAAATACATTTTTTTTTTTTTTTTTCACAATAAAAATATTTGATCAATATGACTGAACTTGCAAGGTTTACCTCGGGCTGATAATTTATAGCCAAGACTACCTCAGTCACTCCAATAGCCTTGAGAGCTTCTATCTGATTCAACGTCAAATGGCATATTTATAAATGACAAATATTTATGGTATATTTGGTAAGGAGGATTGGACGAATTTTTATAATCATTTTGGAAGAAAATGAAAAATTATAGAAATAAGAATAACAAGTAGAAGTCAAGGATTCTGAATGAGCAAACCATGCTGAAATTTTGTAATCATAAATAAAAACAAAATGGAATTTGCATATTTGAATAGAGATACACATGAACATGGAGGGGTTCAAATTTGCCGATCTGACTGTCAAATTCTATGAAATAATTCAAAATAAAAAAGCTGAGGATTTCAAATAATATACCTGATGCAAGATCATAGGCTTGTTAGCAAATTCAACAAGTGGCTTAGGGACACTAAGAGTCAATGGCCTCAATCGAGTGCCAAACCCTCCTACGAGAATTAAAGCCTTCATCTTGAGAAGAGATGATCCCCTTTATTGTATCAATTTCAGCAGCCTGAATTCAGTAGTGTACGTGAAACACTATTAGATAACCCTAATACAAACTAAAAATGAGTCTTTAGCCCTCTATATTTATGCATGCGAAAAGGAAGAAGCTAGCTGCTCTACGGAACTCTATATTGACATCTGTAATAGGAAACAATGATAAGTGTCACATCTCATCAAACTAGTCGGTCCATCATGACACGTATTCATCCATGCATGAAAGAGTAAAGAAACCAGTCTATATCTAGAGCGCAAAAGGGGAAGAATGTAAATTTTAAAGCAGTAATTGAGGAAAACGGATAATTTTTTGTGAGTCGTACAACACATCAAAGTGCTAAAGAGGCTGATATTCCGTCCAAAAGGTGTAGCTGGAAAGAAGAAATTTCTAGCTATACCACAGGCTGGATCTATCAATGAGAGTGACGAGCCCACTGAATTTTATAACGAATTTATTGGTTCTTTGATATGGTGCAGATTTATAAACTATGGCTTGGAATTGTGGCCTTGGAACAAAAATTCCTAAAAACTCTTTCCGATATTCAACTAAACTATTTTGAGATCCTAAATTAAAATCTCGATTTTTTGTTCAGAAAGGGGATTTCAAAACTGAGGGACACTAATTTATTATGATCTAATGCAATATTACCAATCTAAGCAACTAATAAAAGAAACAATTTAAAGAAGAACAAAGATTTTTGGTCGTTATTAAAATATCTGAAGAAACTGATAAAAGTTAAAAGTTAACAGTTGGAATTCAGATAGATCATTGAAGGCACAAAGATCGAGCGATCATTCTTTCTAGCATTCAAATTTCTTCCGTACCAACGGCAGGCAATTATAGTAGAGAATACAAGTTCATACTAATCAAGAAGCATTGACCTTCGAGCTAAAACTTAATGTCAAGTAGCGAACCAAATAACCCTACCAAAAAATAAAAACAAGAGAAAATAATAGGAAGGCAAGAAAACCATAGACATGTGGGTGTTTGGTGGGGATTACAATTAGATTTTTAGTAGATTGTGATATAAGTTTTTAAAATGTGTGGTTGAAAAACCGTGGGAATGTGGTTAATATTAATTGTTTGAATTTGACTTAGATTAAAATCTGATTTTAATCCAAAACAAACAGAGACACTCTCAACTCTATATATCATGAAGCAAGCAGGGACTCAATTCATATTAACAAGGAAGTTCTGTAATGAAGACTGCTCTGGTTTTAACAAAAGTATTGCACCCGGAATGATATGAGAATGTATTATCATAAGCAGATCCAAATAATGATATGAAATTCAATTGACATTACCATGTGAAAAGTCTTGTGGACACCAGATCCATTAAATCTAACTTCATAATTGCAGTTAATTAATACATTTCGTCCCTTAACTAATCAAACAGCTCAAAACTTCATTTAAAACTCCAAACACCTCAGTAACAATGCAGCCCCACACGTGAAAAGAAAATTTAAAGATAGAATCAAACAAAAAGGAGACAACATTACGTCCTCATTGTTAGATTCCTCGGATTCCCAAAATGACCATAAATTCCAGATTCAATTAAAATTCTAACGGAAACCCATATGAGCATTCACAAAAACAAAAAAAACCCAGTGAGAATTCAATCGAAAATCGCACCTTATGGATCACGAAAGATTTGGAGCGGAACCGATTTGGCCCAGAGTCAAAGAAATCCTGTTTATTTTATGTACGACTAACAACAATATGACTTTTCTACGACTTAAAATTATTTTACCAGTTCAGGAAAAGATACCGGGGGCGGGCGTCCTCCTTATTTCTTTCTATTTCTTGTATTTTTTTCATTTATTTTAGGATTATTCTCCATGTACATTATGGTATGGACACCCTTATGTACACCTTAATGTACATGTAGTAGAGCCCTTTATTTTATGTAGCACAAAACGTCTTCACGCAAATTATCCTAACATTTCATATTTGACAATTAGACCCTCATTTCAACCTTTTTTTAATGAAGTTGGTCATTTTTGTCTCATTTTGTCAATTCCTTTGTGAAATATGACTTAATGGTGTACAAAGTTCCTATCACTTGCCTTCATTGAGGAAAACATCATTGCATTCCTTACGCAAAAGGGTTTTATAATATATTTTCTTCATTAAAATATTGTAAAATCACTAATTTATCATTTTCTTTGAATAAACAAATAGAAAAGAAAGAATAAATATTAAAAAAAAAATTATTGCGGCTAGATTTCAGATTTTAAAAAAAAAATACAATGAATCTCATGTAAAACATACTAACAAAAGAAAAATATTTCATCTTCCCAATTAACTCCACCTACCCCTACCCCTACCCCTACCCCTACCCCCATCCTTTACCCACCACCACCACCAAAATAATTAAAAAGAGAACTAAAAGTATAAAAAAAATAAGAAAATAATTAAGAAAGAAAAACAAGATTTTTTTAAAAAAATAAGACAAAAATAATTCTTATTCCTTATCCAATTTCGCACTGGCCACCACCACTATCCATACTCCCCATCTCACGGTGGCATTATCTAGGAATTTAGCTATTTTTCTGTAATCAAGTTTCATGTTTCAACATCTTTTTGTTTTCACTGAAGATACACAGTTTTATAGGGATTTAGCTATTTTCAGCAAATTCTTGTTCTATATGTACACACTACATTTAACTTTAGATTTTGCTCTGATTTTAGTCAAGTTTCTTCTGCTTCACAAAATGATGTTTGAAGATGGGATTTTTTTTTTTCCTTTCATTAGATAGTTCATTCAAGATCTTAATTTAAATTCTGATCTCAACTGTTCTAATTTAAACATAGCTAAGAGGAAAATAAAATTTTTTTTTTCTTGGGAAGATTCTTTTTTTTTTTTTTTGGCTAATTATAAAAATTAAAAATGACCTGAAAATAGGAAAAAGAACAGACTGTAAGCTTTCAGAGTAAAGAGGAATTCACCTATTCATATCTTCTTCTGACTTCCTAAATTCAGCTACGGCACTGACGCAGACTACAAGTCATGCTTACTAATAAAGAGACCAATAGGCATAACCAAGGTTGTAAAATTTTCGAAACCAGGCGAATTTAAAAATGGGATAATGGGACCATAACGGACACATGAAGAATCATGTACCCTTAGCATTTCCCTTTGAAAATTGAATTACCAAAATGTAGTATGCATTCAAATATTTTTGAATTCATAAAAGTTTTACGAAGCTAAATTAAAACTCAAAACAATCGCAAAAAAATTGTGAAAATAAAAGGAAATGCACATAAATACAAAAATAGAGTAAAAAAAAAAAGTAATATATATAAGTAAAGAAAATATATAATTATACTAAATTAAGTGAAATAATTAAAAACATACCGTCCGGCGTCCTTCTCCGAACATTTTACACAGCATTCAACTGTATTTTATGAGAATTGTGCATAAAAAGGGATTGAGTAATTCTTTTTCTTAATTTGTGGAATTGAAAATGATTAAGTTAGCGGTGGCAAAAAAGCTCGGAG